CCTCCAACAACCCCCCTCCTCCTCCCCCTCCAAAAGAAAGTTTGGGGTTACAATTGAACCATTATGTATGTACCAGCTTATATTCCTTCTTACCTTCACAAATTTCTTCAGCAAAATTTTTCTTTATTAATTTCTTTACTTGAAAGAAGGATTCTGAAATATGAATCAGTGAGAGTTAGAACATGTGTATCTTTAATAGTGTAGTCTACTAGTGTGCCAAGTTATATGGAAATCAGACCAAAACTATGAGTTCTGATCATCAGTCATATATCAATGGTCAATATCTAGTATATACTTTATGTGTGCTTAAAAAAAATGGGATTCATATTTTATTGATTTTGGCATGGACAACAATTTGCTAATTCATGAATAACATTAAAAAATTGTTTATACACAAAATATAAAGCACAGACATGTGCGGCGCTTATTTGTGTTTGCTCTTATTATACTCACTACCCAGGGATTGCGCTAAATTTTTAATATATGCCAAGTTAAGTACCCATAATGTAACTCTAAAATACTTTACTTCAATTTTCGTTTAAATTTCCATACCACATAATTATTGTACTTTCATATCCATCTTATTAATCAATGAAATCAATGTCCAGAAAATATGTAGCTCTGAGCTTTCAAACTGTCCATTTTATTTTTCATACACTGCTTGCATTTTCAATCATACCTATTTCATCTTTGAAATCAACTTTAAACTCTTCAGATATGTTGCTCCTGAAAAACTGCTGACAGTGCTTGCAAATACCTGTAAAGTTTACATATATGTTTAATATTAAAGTAAATATGTATGTTTATTCAGAAGAAATGTTCAAGTGCTTATACATGTAGCAACAGCAACACAAAGTGTATTGTTCACTAACTGCCTTATCCGAGTCTTCAAACATAAAATTTTAGCGTAACATAATTATTCCATATGTGTGCAAACCCACAGGCAAGTTTTACTGTTTAGCCTAGAGTTTGAATCAGAAGCAAAAAACATATTTTGGACTAAATAGTTTGGTAGTAAGTGCTCTCGGTACAATTCGGCCCATTCCCACCTTTTTTCCCAAATTTAAGGGTAAAAATTCCCAATTTATGATTGCTTTAAATTCATTACTGTAACCATATACAGTCGTAAAAGCACTGTTAAGTAGCAAAAACGTTCGTGTTATGAACTGGTAGTTTGTTTATATGCTGGAACCGAATAAAAACGATTTTGAAGGATTCACAACATGTCACAGAATGTGAAGATTTGCACTGAAAATAACTTGCAAATTAAAAAATCATAACAAACCTTTTTGAGATTGGTTAGGCCTTGTATTTTATTCCTATTTTGCTATTATTCCCTAACAATTAAAAATAAATAGGTAAAAATAATCCATATCTTATCCATTTTGCAGCGCTACCTGTCTTATAATTTATCCAAAAACGATCGGTTTTTTTTAACGTTTCTCCTTTCTTTATGGTAAATACAATCAGATACAATGTAATTCCATTTAATTTAACTTATTTACGATCTCTAAAACAACTTGAGTAAGAAAGTTATGTAATTTTCCAAAAAATATATCCCCAGTGTATTTAATGATTTAATTTTAAATTTATAAAGATGATTTTTTTTTAATTAAACAACTGATTTACTCTGTATCTGTTCAGATTTCATCTGTAATAAAACGGCCTAAATGTTTCCAAGAGGTTAATTATTATTATTTTTTTAAATAGATTATTTAAATCTTGTATGAATCACTATAAGGAGAACAAATGCTAGGAAAAGTTCAAAATTACAATTTGATAGTAATAATAAATCTGCTGATATTTACTACAGTGGTCAAAAAGTTAGATCCCTGTGGTAGTTGAAAAAATATTTCTTCTAAGAGCAAGGCAATGCAAAATGATGTCAGTTTAAATTATGACTGGTAAAAATTTCCCAATTTTTATAAAAACGTCGCTTTTTTCCCAATTTCAATGGCCCCGGCCCCAGTACCAAAAATGGGTGTGAGAGCCGTGTAAGTTATTAGTAAAAATGAACAGAGCAAAAACATAAAATGCTAAATCGGATAAAATTTACCTACCAGTTCCAACTTGTAACGTAGATCTTGTTTTCAGCCAATACTCTTTGCAGAGTGAGGGGTTTGCGCCCCTGTCACCCCTCGACTTCTGTCCGTTATGTTCTGGATATGAACACCGGGTTTTGCTCCTTCTCCACCTTATGCCAAAGTATTCTCTATGTTTTTGACAAATTTTCAAATCTAACGACCGTGGATCTATTGTAAATATGCCACATCTGTATAGAATAAGAAGGGCCTCCGGACAGTCATAGAACTGTGCGTTCTTCCCAGGTATTCTTTCCGACGCTTGCAATCCAGCAAGATGATAAGAAGTATTTTTATCACACTCATGCAAACTTAAAAGGTTACTTTCTTCCAATTCTTTGCTTGTACTGCACGAAACGTTGCAGAAATTTGAAAAGTAGCACTGAGAATTGTTGACCTGACTGGAGGCCGCCATTAGCAAATGTCATTTCTACCAAAAATTTGAAGAGTTCCACCAAGGGGAGAAAACTTCTACATTGACCAGCATAAATTGGAAATCGCATGTATAAAATAAGCTTTACAGAAAATGATAAGGCTTAAGCTGTGGGTAAAATCACAAAATTTTGCCTAGAATACAAGGTAAAATTCATACCTTATAAGATTTACATTTCATACAAAATTTAAGAAAAAATATTAATGTTTAAGGATTGCCAATTTTGCTGAAATTGGCCGTATTTTTTGTGTTCATAGCAAAGTTCATGGTATTGGGCCAAGGACAATTTTTTTATATTTTGTACTTCAGTAAATGTACTTTTTAAAATATGTGAAATTAATAACATAAAGAGTCCCTCAAATTGAATATTTCATATTGAATTTATACATATTTCAGAAAAATCAATATTCGCATCAAGACATGCTTTTCATTTTTTTTGTTAAAAATAATGTGATGGGGTCTAAGACAAAAAATCAATTTTATTTTAGACAAAATTAAATGTTCTTTGAAATAATAATATAATTTTCAATTATAATATCTAATTTGATAGTTTTACATCTGGTTGAAAAATATATGTTTTTGCACATTTTAAAGATCTCTCCAGAGATTTGTGCAACCATTTATAAGTAATCAAGCTGTTGAAAAAAATAAAAGATCATTTCAGAAAAAAGTATTATATTTTCAAATATCAAGTATCATATATTTAAAAAATGTATGCAAGAAAGTTTTTTGAAACATTGAGTTTCGGACAATTTTTTGAAAATTGCATGGTTTTCTCAGAGACAGGCTGTTAACATACTTAATATCCATGTTAACATAATTCATCGTGCATGTAGGGGGCAGATATAAGGAACTATTATGGTGGAATATTTCTGCCCCGTACATGCAAGATGTACATGTATTGTTAACACTCAACATTGTTACCACAGGCACTTGTTTCGGAAATAATTTTTTAACCCATGGTATAATAATAACACAATACTATGGCTTAAAAATTATTTCCGAAACAAGTGCCTGTGACTGTTACGTAGGCATTTATGTTAACATGCAAGTAAATTATATTGACATGTAAGTTACCAATCTTATAACATGTATAAGAAAATATAATTTAAATATGCCATATTGGGTTAATTTACTTACACTGTACTAACATTCTTATCTGACATCGTAATGTAGATGCAAGATGCTGACATAAATTTATAAGTCGCATTGTGGCAACGGGCTTTGAAAAGATTACGTACTTTGAAAAAAAAATCAAAATGCTACTGAATTTGGAATTATTAAATGTATACATGTATACTGAAGGAAATAAAATACATGTATGTCAATATGCATATAAAGATTTGATTGCTTATTCTTTATTATGTGTATATTTATCACACTGTAATGATGATTTTATAACCTCATAAATTTTTCATTTCACATGCTGAATACTGGCATTTAGTAAAAAAAAAAAGTATTTTACATCAACCTGAATGAAGCCGGAGACATAACCACTACACCACGGAGTCGCTTTACATGGTGCGAAGTATATGCAGAACTGAAGTCACATACATGTATATATTCATGTTTTCATGTTCGGTATTTTCAAAATTTTACACAATCCATGGTGTTTGATTTAATTTAAACAAAAATGTAATAAGCATGGACTGTTTTTAGAATTTGGCTAAAAATGGTAATACTATAAATACTAATAAAACACAGCATTCATTTGATTTGTTATCTCAAAATCTTTCAAAAACTTATGTATAAATTTGATTGAACTTTGACCACTCAAAATCCGTCCTTTAGGCCACAGAGTTGTTATGTAAAATTTCATTGCAATAGCTCAAATGTTTCTAGAGATATCGTGTGGAAACGAAAGTGTTTTAACAGACAGAATTTGCTTATTTATGACCTTGACCTTTGACCTTTTGACCTCAAAATCAATAGGGGTCTTCTTTAGTCCATAGGGAGTTGCTGTGCTAAATTTCATTGCATGTGGAAACGAAAGCGTTGGCAAATAAAACGGGGTGGGGAGGAAAGTAAATAAATATATATAACATTTAAACCCAAAAGGGGTAAGCCGCATTTAATTATATCTTTGCAAAAAAAAGATTTCATATAGCCAGTTCTCCAAGACCTGGACTTATAGGAGAAAATAATTTCAATAGGAAATGAAAGCACCAAGTCTCTTTTTCAGTTTAATGCTTCAAATTGAACATCAAGTGTTATTCAATCGGTATATCTACAGGGCCATTTTATGCCTAAATATTTACATTTCCAATGTCTTTGTCCGAGATAAAATTACCAATTGTAAATGTAATTGATTTCCTCATGAATGTTTTGGCGCGGTTCCAAAAAAAAAAAAAAACCACGTGCAGGGCGGGACAACACCTAGAGAGAAGCAGGCTTGGAGCCCGTGGATTGGCGGAATCAAAGCATGTAAATATAGAATAACCAGATTTTTCAACTCATCAATGGATTGGCTTGTGTGATAATTTTAT